CATGACCCCCATGACCCCTCCCCTGGATCCGCCCTTGGGCAAATGTGACCTATAAGCTGAGCACTTTTTTATCGGGGAAGACCAAGGCTTGATGTTGCTGAAAATTGCCCAATTTTCTTCCAACCAACCTGTTCCAACTTGCGGTCGTACAGCTCCTTGATGTCGAGGATGTGCTTGATTTCCATTTCGCGCTTCTTAATCAGCTGCTCCTCCTTCAAGTGGTACTCGATCTTGTGCTTCTGCAGCTGTTCGACGAACTGCGTGATGTGCGTCTTGATTTCCGCCTTCCACGATTCCTGCGTCTTGAAGAACTGATCGTCCTTGAATTTGGCCAGAATCTCGACGGACGCGATTTCCAGGTGGTTACACAGCAGCTTGAAGCTGGGCCGCTCTTTCGGATTCAGCTTCCAGCACATCTGCAGGATGAGCTTGAAGCCGTCGGGGCACGTGCTCGGAATGGGCGGCTTCAGCTTGCCCGAACCCACCGAGTACATGATGGCGCCTGTGGGCAACAGCGTGGTTTAGAGATTTGGGGATTTTTCGCTTTGGCGCGGGTCCTACTTTGCTCCATGCCGTCGTATGGCACTTCACAAGTGAGCAGCTCCCATAGAACCACGCCGAAGGACCAGATGTCGACTTTTTCGCTGCAGGCCAATTCCTGGATGGCTTCCGGCGCCATCCAGGCGACGGTTCCTGCAAACGTCATTTTCTCGCTCACTCCGCTCCAGGTTTTCGAGGTGCCGAAGTCGCTGATTTTGATTGTTTCGTCGTCGCCAATTAAAACGCTAAAACAAAAGTTGGCCTGTTAATCTGCAGGATTTTCCCGGTGCGATAAGTGATTGCTTTGTTCCAGCTACTTGAAACTATTTTTGAGATTATCGGGTCGCATCTGCTATGAGTTGGTTTTTAAATATAGATCGCTTCTTCCATTTTATAATTTGATTTGATTTGATTTGATAACTGAAAGCGTTCGCCAGACAGTCGTTTAAAATAGAATTTCCCAACTCATTGGTCCAGACATACAACAGTGTTGTCCCATTGTGCAATGGGAGGTGGTTACTACCCGGCACCCTTAGCTAACTGTCCACTATGCCAGAGTGGACTTGGAGGTTCTCATGGTGATCTGGCGATATACCGGGTGTTTGATTTATGCGCCGGAGTACTTACTTTGGGCTCTTCAAGTCGCGATGAATGATCTTGTGTACATGTAGATAATGCATGCCACTGGCGATCTGTTTGGCCCACGAGACCACCCGATTGGTGGTCACCACGTTCTTCTGGTTCTTGAGCAGGTCGAAGATGGAGCCATAGGGGCAGAACTCCATCACGATGCAGAAGCAGGGCTCTTGCGTGCAGACCTGGAAAAGTCGCAAAATGTACCCGTTCATTCATACCCCCCAAGTCGCCTCGTAGATCTCACCCCCTTGAACTTCACAATGTTGGAGTGGTTCAGTTTGCGCAGATGGACAATGTCCGTGTCTTTGAGCTCGGCCACTTTCTTGATGGCCACGCGGGTCTTGTTGAGATAACCGGCGAAAACAGCGCCCTGACCGCCCGAGCTCAAAAACTGCAAATCGGTGATTTTCTCGAACGGAATCTCCCAATCATCTGCAAGTGATCGAAGCAAATGAGGCGCGGGTGGTAGCCTAAGAGGCTCAAGTCCTACCTTGTCCGCACTTGGGGTCCACCATTCCTTTGCCAGTTGTGCAGAAGAGCGGCCGAAGGCACCCGAAGATCCCGTACATCCACTCGGGCTTCATGTTGTAGCCGAGAGGTTGCGGGGTGTCCGGCGAACTGTCCTGGACAGCGGACGCCATATTTACTATACTGGATTCGGCCAGTTTGTGCAGGTTGTCCAGCTCATTTTCCAGACGACCCAAACTGTACAAAAAGGAACGTTTTAGACACGCCAATGAAAGCAAACTTTGAAGGACTATAGAGTTGGCTTGTCTCTATTCAAGGGTGCAAAATACAGCGCTATTTTTGCTATTTTTTTTAATGCAATCTGGTCAAACTCGCCGAAAGAATGAAACTTTCAGTAATTGTAGAGTGGGGTTTTCTTTATTAAAGGGTGCAAACGACCGAGATCTATTTCTGTTGGTTTTTTTGTGATTTTTTTTTATGCGGTTTGCCACTTTTCACGTCTTGAAACCGCTCTTGTCGAGCTGTTTTTTAAAAATTTGTCAAAATATGGTCAAACTCGTCAAAGTAATCAAACTTTGAGGGATTATAGAGTGAAGTTTCATCTATGTAAGGGTGGAAAATACCGCGCTGTATCTCTGCTGGTTTTTTTTGAGGAAATTTTTTTATATGCCTTTTGCATATTTTCTCACCTTGAGTCTGCTCTAGACCCGTGGTATTTTGAAAGTTGGTCAAAATCT